TCCCCCGGCCTGCAGTGCTTCCGCTCAGTGGTCTCGACTCCAAGCCTGAAAAAGCTGTTATAACAAAGAGCTTAAGCACTGAAGTGGCTTCGTTCTGTTCTTTTTAAGCTAAAGTTGTTTTTTAATTTTTCCAGTTGGAAAGGTAATGCCCGATTTTTACGTATTTGAGACATTAATATATCATTTGCCAGGTGGGCTTCTTTAGCTATTACGATGCTAGCGAAGCATGATATTCTGCCACGCGGTTACTGCCTAGGTGACCTGGCTCTTTCCGTTTGCTCCCTTTTACGTGCCGTGCCGTGATAAACCATCCCTATTTATTTTTGGGTACGTGTCCAAATAGCTCTTTGGGCCGACTCCTTAGAAGTGAGATTGATACGCCAATAACAAGAACATTTTTATGGGTTTTGACGAACGTGGCAGACTTGTATCGCACAGAACACACGGCACGGGTCCGTCAGTGTTGCGGACGAGGCTGTAAACGCCTTTTAAACTGTATCCGTCGAACAGACAGGCCACGCCTTCCCACTGATCTCATTCAGCGTTTAATATATAGATTACCCGTGCGAATGTGGGGGTCTTCGGGACCCCGCGTTCTCACAGCGACCTATCTAGCTACTCTTCCGACAGGACACGTTTCACAGGACACGTGTTCCTTAGGGTCATCTTGCCTGCTCCCCCGACGGCTTCCTCTACCCACTCTCTCCCTCCCTCTCACGCTTTGGCTGGTTTTATTTCCAAACGAACACGTGGAATCCGTTCTTTTAAATTCCCGCGGATTGCCCGAGACTGCTCCGCGCAGGCAGCGGGGTACCTTCTCACCCCTCCAAATCCTTGATGATGCTCCGTGGAATTTCATAGACACCCTACGCTGTACTTGGTACTACTGTGACTATTACTAATTATGTTACTAATATTTTTTGACATGGTTTTTGCTGACCTTGCTGCCGCTAACTGTTGCGATTGCTAGATTCGTTTCTTTTACTGTTTTGTTGAGATGTTTTCTTATTATTTTCTAACTGCTTTGTATAGGCATCTATTTAGGCTTTTAAAAAATATATTTACTTATAATTGACCACTTAATGCAATGTTTTATAAAAGCTTATTTTTATCTAGTGAATTTTCTTGGGTTTTCAAGTAGGATATCAAATTTTATAATAATCAAATTATTATTAATCATATTTTCTCAATATTTACAGCATTTTTTGCATAATTACATTAGACATGGCTCTAGAAAAATAAGCACTAGTGTTAATGGCAGCTATATCTTATTTCTGAATTTACTAAAAATGCTGGTAGTATTTCATAATTAAACTCAAAACTGAATATTCACGTGACAAACACATTCGATCATTAATCATCTCTGATGACTGCACGGTATTATCTTTTGAAATAATATATCAGTTACATAATATTAATATATGTGATAATGTTGATTATGATACATATTCACACTGACTAGCTAAATTCTTCATTTTATATAATTCCATCTATATTTATATATGCTGAATATATTCTATTTGGTAAAATATAGAAATAATGATAATTCTATATGTCAATGATTTGCACTGAAAGATTTTTAAAATATCGAATTATCAGGCAATAATAATGGTAGTCAGGATACAATTTCAAATAATCATTTTCATTACATATGTATCTTCTTAATGAACATAAAATAATCAAGCAAATCAATAAATGTTGGCTTGGACGCCCATTTAATACTACCATGCAGATAATATTGTGCCATCAGGGATGACTAAATATTTCTATGACAACTTAAAAAGATTAGTAACAACCTATTCACTGAATAATATCTGTGTCACTTTTAAAGTCATGCAACAATTACTATGTGTAGACTACTATTTATACATATATTAAGTGTGGCTTAATAAACGCTGCTGTTCACAAGTAACATCTTCGTGAATCTTCTGGTTTCTAGCGCCCGTGTTCACTCGTAGGCTAAGGAACCGCTGTGCCAAACCCTCCGCTAATTATCGACATAAGACCATTTATTTTATGGTAAAAATAATCTCGACGTGTAGAGGAACATATGTAAGATTCCAAACTTTATCTTTCAGACACAGCAGTAATTCGTGTGGAAACCCTCAGCTTCCATCACACGCACATTTAGCATCCAGCAGGCTCACCGCGGTCGGGGTACAAAGAAGGGAGAAGGACCTTACGCGTCGAAACAGCTGGGCAGTTTGCAGGGACACTCACGTGGGTTCGGGGTTCCCCTTGGCTTCGCATTCGAGTTGGAAGAATTCGTCAAAGGGAAAGGCGACTTGCACTTTTGACTGTTTTGTGATGGTTGGAACCTGTTGAACTAAAGATAAAAAAATGCGTTTAAAGAACACACTCTTCAAAAACTGGGCGAAGTTAGTTTAGCTATAAGAGAAACGCTCTTAAATGGGCTTTGTGTATCGATAAGCAAAGGGCTATGAAAGAATGACTGTTACAGGACAAATCGGACTTCCTTTCTGCAAAATGTATTTCATCCTAAGGAATACACTTCACTGCCATCATTCCATGTCGTCATATACGTTCCTTTTATTTAAACCCAGAAAAACGAACCAATTTTTAAAACGGAAGAAAAATGTCCATATCATCATGACTTTAAAATGTCTACTTTGAAATTGTTGGCATTTAACCTGTGTTGATGCGTAGATGCATTTTTACTTAGTTCAGTCACTTTGACAGCTCTGTTTTTTTTTTTTGCTGACTTAGGGACGTTAGCCCAAGCTCAGTCTCCATCCACGGGGTACTCCTAAATACTTTAATGACGTGCATAACTTCCTGACACGGACCTTCTGATTGCTGCTGTTTCTAAGTAGAGCAGGTCTTGAGGTTATTGCAAATTCGTATAATTTAAATTTTATTACAGTTATCAATGGTGAGGGACGGTGCACAATAGTGACAGCCCCTGAGAAGTCAGCCACGAACCTGTGAACATCCTGTTCATTAGAGCATTATTCTTTCTTAAACTTGCTCAGGTTGTAACGGCTCAGCAATAACTACCTACGCAGGGAATGGCGCTAAAAACTTTGGGTGTTTATGAGGATATTATAAATCCTTTCCTCCATAATTAGGCCAATTACAGAGACATCAGACTCGTTGCCATTCCCACGGAATGCCTGCTTTGGGGGCGTTTGCCAGCGACCGCTCTAGAGGGCTGGAGTAAATGGGTAACATTCAGTCGTGCCGGAAACGTGTCATTAATGTTTTACAACAATGGCTGTCCACGGGCAGCGCAGCTCAGAGACGCACAGGTGGCCGAGACGACCCAAAGAAGGACACTTGCTGCGGACGAACACACACTCACCCGCCCTGCCCGCGGCCAGCGGCCTGGCAAGCGATGGAGGACGAGAGCGTGGCCTCGGAAAGCGGGGCCGGGCCTCAGACGGGCAGCCCAGTGCCCCCCACCCCGACCCCCGTGGCTACTGGGGGAAACGCAAAGCGTTGACACCCTTGCCACGGAGGTCACCAAACGCCCTGTTCCTAATCTGGCGCTGCGTACTGAAGAGGAATTATCTCAGGCTCTCGGCCGGAATTTCAACAGCTAGGCTGGTACACCTGTGCAGGGCTAAGAGCTTCAGCCTGGCTGCAGAGAACTTAAACCTGCACACCTGTAGGACAGGTGACTCACTTAAGAACAGGGTTCCTTAAGAAGCGGGAATCAGACACAGAGCCTTGACCGTCTGTGAGGAGAGTCGAGAGGCGTCTGTCCCTGGGGCAGTGACCTGCAGGTGTGGTGTGAACCGCTGCCTTGCAGAATTTAAGGTGGCCCTCGGCAAACGGTTTTAAAACACTTTACATTTACAGTCAGCGTTAGTCTCTCTTCTCCTCACGTCCAGACTGAGTTTTCGCAGGAAATGGCTCAGTTCCGTGTTCCCACCTCTCTAAGGTGTAGTCAGCTTCCTGAGGCCACGAGTGAGCCTCTAGCATGCGGATGATCCGCAAAGGCCACGTCCAGCGCGAAGAGGCCGCTGAACAGTCCGCGCCTCGCGGGCTCTTACTCCTGACCGTGGACGGACAAGGCAGGGGGCCGACATGAGCCACGAGGACACAATATCCCTGAAACCCTCGAGGGCCTTTTCCATCCCACGCGCTTCCAGCTCAAGAGAAAGACCCCAGATCTCTACCCTACACAGGTGATACACTTATTACGTAAACTGTGTTTTCAGGCACGTTATTTTTTGAACTTTTAATTACTGTAACCTCTTCAAACTGATTTAGGATTTTAAGAATTCTGCCTTCATTTTTACCAACATATGCTAAGCTATGTAGTTTCAGAAAACGACTGATCTCTGATACGAATTTATACTATAGAATGCTCTAAGTTTCCAGCTGACATCATCTTATAGTTTTAGTTATACGAGATAAAAATGGCTTTCAATATTTTCCTGATTCATTGTTTCCATTCTTAAATATATAATCATTTTAAAAAAAGAAAACAAAGTTTATGCATTTCCTTTTTTTGTCATAACGGGTTAAATACCGGTAATTCCTAAATCATAATTGTCCCTAAAATAAACTAAGCTGAGTATACAGGGGTAACAGCTGTCGGTAATACTGTAGACTGGCTCATACAGCAAAATTCACCTGATCTATAGGTTTCTTGTCATGCGCCGATTTTGCAAAACAGGCAGAAAGCATTATAGCAAGCAGCCAAAATACGCCATCCAAATACTGAAAAAGGCAGAGGTTAATTCTGAAGACAGATTGCTGGAAAACATATAGAAAAGATGGTAGGAAATCACATCCTTGATCGACAGGTGTTGCTCTTAAAATCGAAAGGCAGGTGTGAAGCCCCGCAGGGCGCGTGCCGAACGCGGCCACCGTACCTGAGGGCGGGATCTCGGTGGCCACGCAGAACTGCACCAGGAAGAAAGCCAGAGGCAGGACGCAGCGTCCCCCGCCTGCCAGCCTCGCCATGGCTGGGTGCCAGGGGGGTGACGCGAATGTCTCCTCCTCCGTCCGCGGTCGACCTGGAAGTTCAAGAGAGAAACAGAGTCACATGGGTGCTAAGCTCACGCGCTAACGTGTCGCGCCCCAGGAATTAGATACATTCGTCCTGTTGGTAATAACTCTCCTCACGATGAGACCGTTCTCACGTATGTAATGTGTGTCTCCTCTGTGTCTCAGGGACAGTTGACATGTGTTCTGGTGTCAGCCACAAACCACCGCAATAAATCACAGTTTGCAGGCAGAGGAGCTGTCCCTGGAAGGTACCCCTGTACTCGCGGACGTCACCGCTGGCCTGACAGCTCCCCCGGCCCGCTTCAGGCACAAGGTGGCTCCTTCTCAGTCCTTTCTGATCAGAAGCCTTCGAGGCATCTAATCCCATCGAGGCACTTACGAGGCATCGCATGTTTACTCTTTGATCTCCCCGGCAAAATGACTTCTCATATCCACAGTTATCGACTCATAGAAGGTGAATCGTGAGATACAGGAACAGAAAAATGAAGGACAGATGGATAAGAACCAGCCACTGTAGCTAAAATGGACAAATTCGGGGCATCCGAGTAGGAGGAGACGCACCAGGAGCTCTCCGCTGCAGCAGGACGCTTTGCTCACACCCAGGTCCCCGGGACCCGGAGAAAGGCTGAAACACCAACTTCCCTTGACTTTCCCTCACAATTTCAATTTGTCTGAAACGCCGTGATAAGAGCTATTTCAACAACACTAATAATTCATTCTTAAAACTACGTTTCTCCAAAATGCAAAAATTAATGTTTCAGGTGTCTAACTTTTTTTTTCCCATAAAGATCAATTACTCTATTCATTTAGAACTGGTGGAAAAAACTAATAATTATACAGTCAGAGAAGCCATTAAATGTATATTTAATTCCGAATATTTGGGCTTTTCATTTTTCACCGCTAGCTGCTTCTGAAGGGGTGATGGACCAGCGCCTTTCACGTGTAGAAAGTAGGTCAAATGTAAAGTAGTAACGAATGCTGCTGTTTTGCTGTTTTATTTTATAATTTTGAAAGTCTGAAAAGTTACACTGATCATGATGGAAAATATCCCCCTGCCAAAAAGTAAATCTTTGCTCCCGAATTAGAGTAATGGCATTATTCTACTTCGTCTGATCTCACTTGACCCATCTGTAAAATGAAACATGGAAAAAAAAAAAGATCATTGTGTGCTTTAGAATGTTATTAAAATGACAAATAACTTATACTGGTAATTAAAAATGTTCTCAAATGTGTCACGATGTTAACTGACACCCGCTTTCCTGGTGTAATGAATTATTCTAATCGACAAAAGAAAACGTGATAAAAGATGCTTTCGCTGTGAAAAGCGGAACGTCGCCCAACCACGAAAACCGAGTTCCACACGTTTGGACGCGGTCTGGGCCGCGGACCAGCCAGCGAGGTCGAAGGTGAAAAACCAGAAGAAAATATCATCCTCTGAACTGGCCCTTCCGGTCCCTCCTCTGAGACCCTCTGAGTAGTCATTTGAATTCGCCGTTGATGGTTATATGTCACTCGTTACCCGCAATCTATTGTTACTATTCTGTTCCGTTCACAGTCAGTGCTGGTTTTTTAAGGGCGCCTCATGGATCTGGTTAAAGAGCTGTCCTCTCCTGGCGAGGAGAAAGGGTTTCAAAACCATGACGCCATCAGGAAACCATATTTCCAGATCAATACATCGCCCTGCCCTGAAATGGAGAGTAAAAACTCCAGACGGCCACATAAGTGAGGACGGACTCGAGTTCATGGATCTCCTGACTCAGGCAAGTGGCTCCCGGGGCTCCGAAGGCCGCGGCAAGACGGCTCAGAGATGCCAACTGTCCACAGTGAGGGTCTGACCGCTGGAATTTCAATGGTTGTAACTGCCTGCTCCCAATGCAAGGCATCTGCTTCCATAAAAAAATGCCACACTGAACCAACAGCTGGCTTAAAACGAGACCGTAAATTAAGCGGCGGGGGATGGTTAATCCTCCAGGCGCTGACTTCTCCTGCGGGAATTCGCTTCAGTTTACCTGGGACTCATATTTGCATGTCAAGAGGCTGTTACAGGAAAGTCCCTGGGAGTTAAACGTGACCCCTGAGAGCAGAGCTCCATTCGGTGACGATGACAGCCTCGCACAGCTTTCCGACTGAAGAGGGGAAGTCGCCATCATCTCAGTGCGAGGATGATGAGGACCGCGCCGGTTAGGAATTCCGTTTTGCAACGGAAAGACGGAGATAAATTGACGTCCCCATTTATCTTCCCTCAAAGAAAACGAGTTTAATGCCGCACGCCAGACGCCACGATAGAAGTGTTTGTTGAAGCTCAGGACGGAGCCGACACAGAAGCAAGAACAAAATATGCTAAAATATTTTTGACGCCATGACGTAAAGCCTGGAACTGATTGCTCGGTGCTAATGGTATTAACTCTGTTCGAAAAAGAGTCATTGAATCTTCGCGAACGTGGACAAATTGCGTTGAATCCTCCTACCACCCTAGATCGTCCTCGGAAAGAGGAAAATCATCTCAGACGACCTACCCAGGAGGGCAGAGGTGTCACCACGCCTACAACCCCAGCTTCTTCAGAATGCTGGGCCAGCAGGGAGCAAGGACACCTGCTTGCGAGACGGGACACAGACGCGGACGGGCATGTGCGCTGCCTGGGACCACTTCCGACGCAACAAGGAGTAAAGCTGTTTGTCCAGAACGACAGCCTCTAACGCCGCCATGCTGTCTCCGCTACAAAGTGACCTCGCGGGCCCCTCCAGTGGGACATCTAGGGACAAGCGATGCCCTTAAGGTGAGTTCGCCTTCTGCTTTAAGACGCGGACACGAGAGTTGGCCCAGCCTTGGTCCCCTCCGCTTGGCCTCCCGCGTGAATGCTGCGGCCCGCTGACCGGGACAGGGACGTCATGCACCCGCACGGGGACAGCGAGCGAGTCGGTCTATCACAGGCCCAGAGCCCCGTGGCCTCGGGCAGCGCGTCCAGCCTTTCTCGCTCATCTCGACACGTGACAGTGAGCGTGGCCGCTCGACAGCAAGGTCGCGTGTGTTCAGCAAAAGGAGCAGAACAACGAATGAGACGCGCCAGCCCCGGCGACCATGACGGCGGCTCCGCTGTTCGGGGGCCGCCTCCGGCAAGGACATGCTGGCCCGAGGAGCATGGTTGGCTAGAGTTACAGAATCGTGATGAGTTAAAAATAAATAAATAAAAATAAAAGACAATCCACTGAGGTGCTTGGTGGTAAATGATATTCACTGATTTTAAATGCTCCCCGAAGGAAAAGGACACGTTCGGAGTGTGGCAGAGCGACCGGAAAGCCCTCAGTCCTCACACGTCAGCCCCGGTCCCCGCACGTCACCCCTGGTCCCCGCACGTCACCCCCGGTCCCCGCCAGCAGCCGCGTCCTCACTCCCCACCCCTGCCCGGCCTTTGGTCAGCGGAAGGAGCCCTCAGCTTAGGTCTCGGGAAGATGTGCACGTTTGTGTCACACCTGCTCAGTCTAGAGGGTCCTAGCCTGCTGGGGACGGGAGCTGCTGCCCTGTCACCCTCTGCGATCCTGGCCAGGAGCCAGCGGCCACCAACCGTGAAAGGGCCGCCAGCCTGGAGGAGCCCGCCGCAGGTGACCTGCCAGCTGAACGGCTGTTCTTCGATTCTGTGTTACGTTTCCACCGGAGTCTGCTTTCCACTCCAGTGGCGAACCGTGGCGAGGTCGAAGGAACCGGGGTTAAGGCTGCACCGTCCCGTTAGGCCGTCCGGCACGCACACACCCCGCACTCTGCACCGAACGGAAAAGGAAGGGCTTCGCCATCGGCCTAGGGGGCCCTGGCTGATCCGGATGACACCTGCCCGCTGCCGACGCCGTCCCACACACGGGGCGGAGGTGGCCCCGCGCCCGCCCAAAGCCTTCGACGTGCGGCTCTGCGGGTCCCACGGCATCGTGAGCACACCTCCCTTCACTGAGCAAACGACACAACGCACACGCGTGTGGCCGCACTCAAAACAGAGCGCTTCCTGCGTCACTGAGAAGGGGCAGGACCTGGTGTGGCGGATGGCCCCCAGCGGCCTCAGGCGCGGCTGGCTCGGGACAGCAGACTTCGCCTGCGAGGTGTCCTCCACGCCCTCGGCCTTTTCTGGCAACTACTCTTTGTGAGCGTGTGCGGGTCCGAGGCCTAAGGAGACACGAGCGCGAGGCCACCCAAAGCTGACGGCGGGTCCCGATCACCGCCTCACAGCCTGCCACTGCCCTGACCTGCCCGGGCCCCTGCCACCGCCCTGCCCGGGCCCCTGCCACCTCCCTGACCTGCCCAGACCTGCCTGTGTCCCCGTCACTGCCCTGACCTGCCACCGCCCTGTCCGGGCCCCTGCCACCACCCTGACCTGCCCTGACCTGCCCTGACCTGCCACCGCCCAAGGAGGCCCACGCGGAACATGCTGGCCTTCTCCTCGTCCTCGGAGAAACAGCTGTTTCTCATTTCCACCACTGTGAGTTCTAGAAGTCAGAATGAACCTCGTGCGTGCTCGATTTTAAACACATTTTTCTCATCGAGGAGCGTGAAACAGACCAGCAGCGCTTATCACAGTCGGTGGGAAGGGACACACGGCCCTGAGGTCCAAGAGGAGTTGTAAAGGTCACGGAGGGACCTGGGCGGCCGCCGGGGAAGGAGCTGTCACTTGGAACGGTTCACAATGCACCTCCTCCCACGCACTGCGGGCTGCAGCAAGCCGGCGCCTGCACGGGCCGGCTGCCGAGTCCCTGATGGGACGGGGGTCCCCTGCGCCCCTCTCTGACCTCCAGTGCCTGACTGTCAGGCAGGGAGAATGACACCTCCCCCTCAGGAGTTAGGGCTCAGGGGAGAAGTTTCCACCAGCCCCAGGTGTGATTGGGGTCACTCAGCACCTCCAAACACAGGAGACACACAAAGAAGGCTGAACGGCTTTTGTTCGCGTCCCGCTGAGGGCTGCCCTGCACATCAGTTTACAAGTGTCATCAACCAGTAACCCCAAGGGACTGTGAACGGCCGTTTGCTCTGGAAACAAAGGTATCCACTCAAACTCTGTTTCATGTCACTGAAGTGACAAAGCGTTGCTCAGTGTTACTTCATCCTCCCTGCAGAAGATCAGAGCAACGGAGATTTTACTAGAACCCAATCGATTTTATTGGAAAACTGTCAGCTTTAATTGACCATTATGGTGGCAAGCTAATATCATTAATAATACCGTTGATTTAATAGCAAAATACCGGAGCTAAACTCTGTCAGGAAAGTAACTGAATATAATTAATTTTTTGTTTTTGGTTTACCCTTTTATTCACATACGTCCAAAATTCTTACCGAATACATGCTGTAATGACATCTAATTCGAATTCTTTTATAATAGAAGAAAAGAA